AGTGAGTCTACACAGTTTCACTGTACACTGTAATCCTGTGACTCAAGCTGTTGTTTATCTCTAATGAGAATTTCTCCACTTCATAATCCCCACTTGCGCTCTTCGTAATCAAGACCGTAAATTCGACTCTCCAGAGCCACATAGCTTCAGCAATGGTTTCCAGTTTCGCTTGAAACTGGTGGGCCAGATCACTGAAATGCTGTTTCTTCTCAAGATTCGCTGTTCCAGTGCCTTAGTTTCCGTGATTCACAGTCTCTTGCCCCATGAAAATTTTGGCGTGGTCCGGCCTGCATCAGATAATGCCTATTATTTCCGATACTACACCTGACACCAGTCGTGTTCTATTCCCAAATATATCAGAACCATCTTCTGCGTGCTTTTCCAACTGCCCACGAACACTTGAACATGCTCGTCATATCCTTGTGGCGTTCCAAGAATTTCCCCACGATACGGCATCGCCGGCTCCACTCAGACAGATGAACTGCGGGGATAATGTTTTCGCCCTTCAAGACTCAGAACTGAAAATTACACCGGAATTCAGAATAAATAGATACTGAAATTCCGAGCTGCCCGGAGATCGGATCAGCTGATTGGCGCGAACGATTCTTTAAAACTGCCTGTGGACAAAAAACGGAGAGTTACACTGGATCTACTACCTCTGCTCCAAGCCACCCGCTGTCATTATGTGGGGCTCTTGAAATTGCTGTGATCCTGCACGCTGAGCTCTGAACCTTCACAGCCTCAAAGGTTCATGGGTCCATGTGTTCTCCCAGTTTCCACCTGGCTTCTTTTCCACTGTAGAAAATAGATTCGTTTAAATCGTTGTTGTCTGCTTCTTACTTAAAAAAACGCCCCCGTGGTGAGTGAAACAAGTTCTATTTGCAACAAGGCCCTTAAGGCAACTCGTATTTTTTAGTTCTGTTGACTCGTGGAGCGCTGCCTCGGAGGCAGCAAACGAGATTCCGACGTTGTGTTTACTACTTATTCATAGCCCTCCAGGTGTCATTAAACCGCCATACGTCCGAACGACCCTCAGTTTTAGTATTCCCGAATCCAGACGCATTTGAGTTCGTCGACAGATCCGTTGTGCATGGCAAGTATTCTCAGCAAACCTGGCTTATGAATACAATAAGTTCTTCGTAACATCGCAGTTACGATCATGTAAGGATGTGTGTAAAGCGGTTCTGAAAAGGTGGCGTCCGATAAAGTGTCTTCTCTCCATTCCCAGTTTCGGGGTCAACGAGTTTATGCAAAAAGATAGGTTTTCAAAACCCTGGTGTTCGGATATTTGCTGACGAAAACTTATTCAGTCTGAAATATGTAGGCAGCATTGTTCTCTTCCTCGAAGGGGAAAAATCATGGCTGTTGTTGAATAAACTGATCACATTCATCTCGCTCTTTGGCGTGTGTCTTGCCCCTTTTTTGCGATGTAGGTACTCAGCATATCATGTACAATCCAAGTGGAGGCACACAATCTTATGGGGGTTTTGCGCACTTTGGAACTTTTATAATTTTGAACTCTGGCGTGATAGAAGAGTCAGCGTGGCGGTGTTTGCTAATTTGAGATATACATTCTGGCCAATCTGCTTCAATTCAACATGAGACCAATGTGGTCCAGGGGATGTTATTTCCCTCCGCTTCACTTAAAATCGGCTGCATGTTGACTTCCAACTCCTTTATCCGACGATTAAATCTGTTCCTTTTGGTTCAACTCTCATGCGCAAGAACCTTTAAACAGACTTAGGGAAATACCTCCCGTGTAGGCACAGGAACAATATTTGTCCCCCGCATATTTTAGATGTCCTATTAAGTCGTATGAGAGCATGCATTCGTACATGACATACAGGGACGCTCTCTCACAGATGAGATCCTCGAATCATTCAACAGTAAAGCTCCGTGGAATTCTCGGACGTTGCTAAAGGGTGCTTTAGGTGAAAGGATCTAACTGAAAAGCCTCTTAGGGAGACTACGACCGCATTTGTCCTCTACACTGGATTTATCCTTATGCCTTGCAGCGGACTTATCACTTTCGTACTTAGTTAGATGTGTTGTAATTTTAGTGTCTTAGAATTTTGCATGCCAACGAAGCCCCTTCTAGATGAAACACTTCTTGGTCTAGACTAATCTAATATGCTCACCGACTGTACGTGGACTAGGTGTCAGAGAGGGGAAGAACACATGTGCACAGCTGCAACCGCCCCATATTGTTATTGTCGCAACCCTAACGGCTGCGGAAACGGCGAGCGATTGTTCTTAAATTAGGGGAAGCCGGACAGCCTATGCATAAGATACTTGCTTGGGTCGGTATGCCCTGAAATCCGCTGCGTGAAACGACCAGACTTCCGCTCAAGAATGCCAGAAATTTAGCACTGCGGCACTGAATTGGACTTTTCTCCAAGATATACAATAATAGTATGTTATCGCCGCTTTCTTTACAAAATGGTGGAAAGTATTCAGCTTAGGGTCGTTAGAGCGATATAAATGACGCAGTTTCAGCGAGTCCGTTTGTCCTTATTGAAATAAGCTGACTTGGTGCAATAAACCAGGAGGGATATTATTCATACATTGCAAAAAACGATAGTGATTCTACGTAAAACTTTGGTGAACTTGGAGCTCGGTAGCCTTAGTATTATAAATAATTGACCAAAAATGAAGATAGAAATTCAACTACCAGGTATTGTTATCAACCTAAATGAATGTGGCGGCACAAGGAAACGTGGAAAACAGTATTTCAACCGGCAATCCCTCAGTGATGTGGAGATTTTGAACACTTAACTCGGTACTTATAACGATTTGTTTCTAAACTTTCGTTCTGGATCTTCGTTAAAGTGCGCCCCAAGGGGAGCTCTCACTGTTCGGACTACACGCAGTCGTCATGAGGGAGTAATACTATTACTGCTTGTTCAAACTCGTTTATTTCCGGTGTTGAGATTCCGCCGCGTTGGTCAACATGAGAACATTAGATCCTAGGTGTACTCAGTACACTATACTAACGAACACGAGCAAATTGAGTAAGCCCCAATCGCAAAATCCCTCGCTTCTGATCATTCAATTGGAATTATAAGATGGCTACGAGAAGCATCAATTGCTATCAGGAGGATTAAATTTCCCCTTCCCATACTCACACCACAGGTGCTTTCTTCCGTGCCGATAAAATTTAATTACTTTTATTCGAATGTATCCTACTGCCCATCCTCAGTAAAACTACGGGAGTTTCATCAACTCACTTGCACCTTCAGTGACCTTTACCAGGCAGCGTCGTATCCTCTTCCGGTCCTACTACGTCTGTACCGGTTAGCAGCTTTCAGAGCGGCTATGGTGAAACGAAATTCCGTTCGCTAAAATGGCTACTCAAAAGTACATTGCTGCTGTCTTGCTGTGTCCAACCGCCGCCAATCTACCTACCAAGAAGTAGAGACCTTTCTCCTCCCCGTGAATAAATCGGGCAATGGGGTATCTCAGCGTTTGGAAGAGGCGCGCAGACGGAGTGATGTTGCGGTGGATGGAATGTCTTTGCATCAATTCACTGTCTCAAATTGTTTTGTTCACTTTGACTTGCTGTATTCAGCCGTGTCGTCGTCCACCTGTTTGAGTATGTTAGACCTCGTATAGTTGCTTGGCTTCACCAGGTAGGCTCGAGTGTCATCCCTTATGCGGAGACCACGGTCGCAGTTGTCCATGAGGCCGTCTTCGCACGTTTGTGGATAAGCATACATTCAGAGCGCGGACTTACTGTGCTAGAGTGTTAGATTGCTGCCGGTTTAGCAACATTCTCCAGTCTTCAGGGCTGTGCACGTTATTCGTCTAACCCATCTCCTCAAACAAGCACAATCCTAAAGAGGGAGCGACCTAAAAGTAAGATTGGTCTTTCATCCGAGCATGCCCCCATTTTCCCGCCGATTTGGGGAGAAGTCGGCCCCACTGTGTCGATTTTCCTGCGCATGCGGTAACTACCGCCATCACGCGCCAGCAACGAATGGACAACCATCCTGGCAGGCCGTAATCCGTTTAGTTTTTTTCCTAAACCATGTCTTTTATAATTGAAGCAACAACTGGAGTGTATTTTTGAGTAGTTTTGGAAGCTGACTGTAAGACGCTTTGTGCAGGACTGGAACCCGGATGTCTAGCTCAGTCTTTCGTCTGTGATGCGACTCTAGCACGTACGGCCCAGCTGTTCTGCCAGCTTGTCATGAGATGAAGCACTTCACTATCCACCCCCTTATCTAACTGCCTTTACCCATTCGTTGTCATTACCTCATCATCCTTTTTACTTCTCGAGCTGTCCTCCGACGTGTCCACCACGTGTGATGGTCACGACACCGGGACCTTTACGCTAAGTTGGACACTCCCGGCTCTCACTACTTCCCATGTGCACCCTTCTCTGCGTGCGTAACGCTTAGTCTGCTTTTGTATGCTGTGCACAGACTCCAGCAGGCCACAGATCGACCTCAGCAGCACGCACCTCACGCAACTCGAGGGAGTCTCGAACCTGCGACCTCTAGGCTAACATTATGAACACTTAACCGTCCGGCCACAATCGGTAGAGTGATTAGCTCGCACCTATATAGGAAAGACTCCAGATCAGATATCTGCAGTGGAACGGATAAGTATTCAAGCTGTCAACCGGGAGGTAACTGATTCGGGACTTCCTGAAGTTTTGTGAGGTGTGCACTGTTGATGATTCCCAATAAAGAAGAAACAACTGCGTGGCGTTCCCCAGCTTTTCGGCAGAGACTGACTTCACTTACAAGACGAAACCTCCATTAAGATTGCAAAATCTGTTCACACTATTAAAATTCACCTCTATTGTCGTCGTAGGCTTGCAATGATTGTACGACATATAAAACACGGTTGGAGCTGCAGTGCTGTGAAGTTTGCTCGCGGTAATTTCCAACTCCAGAATTACCCTAGTGTGAATTCCTGAACTACTTTGAATCCAGAAAATGTGCAGCTAAATAGGCACACCCAAATGCTCCAGCAAAAAGACGATATTCAAAATGCGAATATGGCCGAAGATATCTCAAATGAGAAAGTTGCAGTACGGTAATTTATTTTTGCAGATGATTCTTACAAAAAAAAATATGCAAAAATGCAAACTCCGCGTTCAGAGAAACCTGAAAAGAGGAGAACTGGAATTGAGTAGCGAGCACGTGAAATCCACGAAAACAACAATCTAAATCAGTAGAAAATAATGCTATAAGCATCCACTGTCATCTTAGGCTCCGCAAGAGTGAACAGATGGGAAATGATGGTACGTTAGTCCGAAACCAACTCTAAGTGCAGCTTCATTGTACGTGTACGGAGGCCAGGCGTCCCTAATAACCGAACAACACATCATTTCGACGGATGCGTCAAGTGCAGGGCACGGGCCAGACGAAGGCATGCCATGATTGGTCAGAATGCCAGCCAATCCGAGTCAAGCACCTTTGACTCGACGCCTTTCGCCCTCTCATGGAGATTTTGGCACAACCTTGTGGAACACTCTGTGACTACCCTATAAATACAGTTGTAATAATTTTCCTTTATCTCCATAAAAGGCTGTGTAGAGCTACCGTGCCTTTTGAAATGCCATAGTGGGCGGAGCATGCAGAGTTGCATGACTGTTCATCAAGTCACAACAGTACGGTGGGAAACCTCCGGACATTCGCGAACTTAGCGCTGGAGCCATAGAATGGATTATCAATCGCAGTTTATCTCATGCAAAAATACTGCAAACTCGGTACAAGTCCTAGCAATGGAGCTTAAATCGTACGTTTCCGAGAGAACAACCAAATTACAGGAAGGATGAACATCCTAACTGTGATTTCACTCTGTAAAATAAACCTAGCACTGGTAAGACCCGCTTGTGCTAAACCTAATATGTAAATACAGCGTGAAAGGACAAACTGCTGAAACGAGATACTCACGTCTGATTATACAGCCGGGTGGAGTTCGACTCATGATACGGCCGGAGTTTTGAGCTTCTTTTTCTTGGCGCTACTCTCTGATGTATCTACAGAGGAAATATGGAGTGGTTATGTGAATTCTTTAACAACGTTAACAACTACTTCATCAGTGAAATTCAAGCGACCAAAATAAGGGGCTAAATCAAACACTGATTGAACTATTACCTGCACGAAACGAAGTACGAATGTTCAGGCTCAGTAGGGCGCAACATATACCACGTGAAAAAAACACAAGACCACTCATGTATCCAAACATAGCTTAAGTTGTGGTATGTGAAATTGGATGATCCTTTAGCATAAATTAACCCCGGAATTCGCAGAAATATCATTCAGTCAGTCCGCTTCTAAATAATTCCGCCTCATGGTTTCGTATGCTGTTCGCACCTGCAGTGTAAAGTGCTACTGCAAGACTGGGTGGGCTCGAACCCGAGGCTCGTGCTTGCGGATCAACCGATTGACGCAGTAGACAGTTATGTTTACCCGGGCAGCTGTATCAGTCCCGGTGGTCTCGCGAAACAAGATACCGTCATCTGGATTGGGAAGGCCAGAGTAGCTTTTGTGAATCTGTCATCTGTGGCGTAGGCGTGACATCATCTTATCCCTCAAGGTTCGAGTTTGCAATGCTGCGGTGCCCTCCATATCACTGTACGGATCAGAAACCAGGCTGCCACGCACCGAGGACGTCAAGACTTTCACTGTTTGACCATCGATGTTTTCGAAGCATTGTCCGAGTCTGGTGAGAATACCGGATCAGCAATGCTGAAGTACGTCAAATGGTATTCGGAAGAAATAACTCAACCTCGATAGATGAACTGATCACACTGCATAGATTGTGCTGAATTGGCCACGTGCTCCGTTATGGCAGTCGACCGACTTCCTCGAAGGGTTCTTTTCGCACAACCACGTGAAGGACAGTCAAACAATGACTTGGCAGTATAAAACCCATTAACAGCAAACTCAGCTGCACTGGTCACTGCCGTCTTCCCGGACGGGGACCCCGAGATGGCTAAAGAATTGTCACACACGGCGTCAGTCAAAATGAGATCCCCAGTCATCAGAAACATAGCGCAGTGACCAGACAGTGTCGTGTGATGGCCGCGTGGGATGACGAACGCATTTCCCACTATTTTTGTATCAGTTGGTCAACTTCGGCTTTAGTTTATGGAAGAATCCCTCACTACCTGATGAAAAATCAACCACTACAAGTGGCACCATGGTGGATAATACTTTCGTCACGGGATTGACAACGTCATCACTCTGCGTATGGCAACATCCTACGAACGCGCTGGGTAAGCCAAAACAAGTAAAGTTGTTGTTTACGGCTGGTGACCTTAAACCCTAAACAAGAAACAACACTAGACGAATGTACTCATCTGCAAATCAACTGGGTTTTCACGAGAAACTCAAGTGAATCTCTCGATTCTGATATTCTTCAATTGAATGTGCTGCACAAAGACCGTTTCATGTCTCAGTTGGTACGATATTCGAAATATTGCAGTTTATTTCCATAAAGGAAACTACTCATAAGGTTGCTGACCGCCCACGGCCGGTTGCAGTTGAAGAATATCATAAACGAGAGATTCAGTTGGGTATCCCGTGAAAACCAATTTGGGTTCAAGTAGAACAAAATGTTGACGGAAACTCGGGGACTGCGCCTACCTGATGAGCCCCAAGAAGGGCGAAACCGGTCGTGGGCTGTCAAAGAGTTTTCAGCAACCTTGTGAGCAGTTTCCTTTATGAAAATATGCTGCGATATCTCGAATATCGTGCCAACTGAATCATGAAGCGGCCTGTCTGCAGCATATTCAGTTGTAGAATATCATAAACGGGAGATTCCGTTGATTTTATCGTGAAAACCCAGTTGATGTGCAAATAAGCGTATTTGTCGAGATCTTCCCAAAATGGGTTCAAGTGGAACATGATGTTGATGGAACCTGGGGAATGCGCCTACTGATGAACCCTAAGAAGGGCGAAACAGGTCGTTGGAGTTATTACCAACCTTGAAAATAGTTTCCTTTATGAAGAAACGACACTGTTATGAGAAACTAATCTGGTCTATCCTTATAATACGTAATCGTGTAAAACAATATAAAATGAAACGAACTATGGCACCAGCCATATCGATTATATGGACCTAAAAAGTAACGTGATCAATCTGTAAAATTGAGACAACGTCACAGTAAGCCCTAAATCCTAAGGACCGCGTGGTCGTAGATCGAGACGGATAACTTTGTTCCACGGCCAAGAATAAATGTTCAGCTCCATGTCTTGTATGGACGAGGTAGCTGACGATCGACGATATCTTCTGATTGAAAATCTAATTAAGGTCAGTTAGCAGCACACAGAGTCATTCGCGCTGGCGACTTTCGGCTCGAGCTTTCAGCCTTATGTCAGCTGTAGATGAGCCCGTAGCGACTGGTTGATGAAAAATTACGCTGGCGATTGGAGCCGTAGCAATGACAAACTCTGCGTGTCAGTTGGACTTCAGCACATGACCACGTTTAAAATCCGCTTCAATAGACTAAAAAGATCGCCAGCAATGTAGGGAACACGTAGGTTCATGAACTTCGTCGGTGCTGTGATTTACACGTCCTATTATCCGTAGTTTTAGCATACCTGGCCAGCCGACTGAACCTTTCACACCTTACACGGGACGCAGTAGCATAACTGAGGCGTATGTTCAAGAATAGCACATCAGGGAAAAATCAATGACTGTTGTTCTACAGCATTAATAAAACATAAAAAAGCATATCATTGATTAGCGATACGAACGAGATAACCTGCGAAAAAAACTCACTTTTGGGATGCAAGTGTGACTTCCCGAAGGACGTTTCCAGTGAAGCTCTGGCTTTCTTCGGCTTCGGCTGATCTAGACCCAACAGACAAAAAACAGAGCAATTTGTAAGTAAATTTTCGAAACAAAAGGCTAGTCAAACAGAACACGTAGCAGCAAAGCTCGACGAGAAATTTGCATCTCATTCTAGAACCGTTCCTTTACTTGAGCAGTGCGACGAAAACACACCTAGCAGTGGAGTGATGCCATAAGCGTTCAGCTGTAGCACCCTTCCGGTGTCTAGCCGCCATGCCACCCGAAGGAAGCACGAGGGCTGGGATACTGCCAGGTTGCCCAAGCCTAGACAGGGGAAGTCGAGTGGCGGAGGTCGGATTCGAACCAGGGACCTTCCGGTCATTGAATTCACGCTCTAACCACTTGGGCCATCTCGCCTCACTATAGACGCTATAACAACAAGGTTCTTGAACCTGGATGGATGAATGGTATTCAACAGGGTAATAAGTGTATGGTCAAACCTGACCGGGCCAATTTACGTGACTTTCTGAAGCACCCTAAGCGCGAGCAGACCTTATCAAGGTAACATGCAAAGGTCACAAAACCCGTCCTTTGAGCAATTCACAAGCTACAGTTAGGCTAACTTTCGATGCAATGTAATGGTAGATGACGTCTCATGGGATTAGCACGCAGATGGTGATAATTCTCTAGGGATTGTTTTATTTATGGCACACCGCGTAATTCCAAACGGTTGAGTCCCGACTGCTTATTATTATCTTATTATTATTGTGCTTACGTCTACTTTGGGAAACCCCGTTCTCTATCACGCTTCTAAGTTTGTTAATGCGGGATATCTGCCGAAAAGGAGGAAGCGGCTGCAATGCGACCACCTGACACTCCCGCTATATGTCCGTGATTAGTTTGTACAGGATCTAAGATTGCCATGGCTATCGAAGCGTGTCGCAACACAAAACAACGAGTGTTCTCTAGTCATCATTGCTGGTGGATTGTCAGTAAAGCATATGAAGCATCTAGTTGTCGAAGCCGATTTGCAAACCTAAGGACAGACCAACATTGGACCCTCGTAAAAGTTGCCCCTGCAGGAACTGTGAAGGTCACACGACAACTCGTCATCTCATTCGCTGATAGGGGTGCTATAATCATTTGATGGGATCAATGACGATAAAGTTTCACAGAATACAGTCGTGCAAGTGTGCTCTGGCGAAACGGAACGCGAGAAAGGGTTAGTACGGGTAAGACGGCTGCCGGCAGAATTAACCCAGAACACCGACGTAATAAGTAATCATTTGTACGCTCCTTTGCTGAAAGAACGGAATGCAAATGTTTGGGTGGTCTTAGTCTGAAAGTTTTCGTTATCGGCTGGTTTCCACCCACTTGGGAATGGCGTTGATGTGATGAGACTTTGAGGGAAGTAAGTGTATCTCCTACGATGCAAAAGTACCCCGTATTGGGTGCCGTTATTTTCACTGAAATTATTTACACGAAGTTTCAAGCCGTTACGAATATGATTATTGAGTCAGCCAGTCATTAAGCATGTTAACGTTCAGTTGTCTGATCCAAGGAGCGGAGTTCCACTTGAAAATTTCGTTGAAGTTGCTACATTCGGCACTACGTACCTACCTGACCCCCCCCCCCAAACGTTACAGAATAGTGCAGGTGAACAGAGTTTCGTATGTGCACCACCGTCCTAGAAGAATGTGTCAATGAGAAAAAATGGATGCCACCACAGGATGGAAGACAACTCATTATCAAACGACGGGTATTTAGATATTAGACCAACTAATGCCATCCCTCCGTTAACGAAAGCATTTTTGCGGCCTTATTAACAGTTCTCACTGAGTCTGAAGACAACTACTGATTTTAAGCCACCCGATGACGGATCTAACCAATGTTATCCAGGAGCGTATGCTGGGTAGCCAAGACCGGGCCTAATCTGAAAACCTTTTAATTCCCAAAGCCTGCTTCACTAAAACCTGAAAAAAATATCGATTGATTGTCAACTTAGATGGACTGAGCGGTTGATTGATGAATATTACGAATGACATGGCGATTCTAGTCTAGCGTTACCATCCAAGTCACTTACCTTCCTGAACGACGGTTTGCAAGCTGGCATTCAGAGGTGAGTCATGGGCGCTCCTTTTGTTTTTCTTTGCACTTTTGTTGTCTATAAAAAACAATGGGTTACGGTTCAAAAGAATAACCTGTATACAGTTTAGATGGTGTGCCGACGGATGAAAGCAGTGTATAGAAAATCTGAAGGCACCGACTAAACGACATTTGACTAAAAGTAACACAAATACGCATACTCGCTAATCTGTGACTGTTCAACAATATTACGTTATAATCTGCTAAAAGCTTAACTGAACGAGATGTCCATAGAGGAGCTGTAAGTTTGATACCCGACATTCTNAGATGTCCATAGAGGAGCTGTAAGTCTGATACCCGACATTCTTACAGTAATATTCGGAAGAGCTCCGGGTTTAGGGCGCCAACTCACGGCTCTTCTGTGTTTCCTCAGCTACTTCTGTCCAAGGTCATATGAACTAATAAACTCACATCAATATATATGTATATATATATATAACTAAATAAAGGCGAATGTCCTACACCACCGTCACAGCTTATACGAGTTTTGTGTAGCTTGCTAGCCCAGGTTGCCGGGTTCGGTCATTCGTCGAAAGAGTCACAATGAATACGGGTAGAAAACGGTACTTCAACATTGTATTGTTGTATTAAAAAGGATATCCTGTAGTTAAGTTCTATTTCCCTGCGATTTCCCGATTGAATACGGCACAAAACATTTTGCAGATATGATTGTATCTACCTCGAGAAGTGTCGGCGAAATCGGCAGAGTAAGTGATTTCCCAACAGGTATTCCACTAGCTGAGGAGTATTCTTCTTAAAGACTGAATTACCTCGAACTTTCAAGGCTACTACATTGATTGATCAGATACAGTTGAATCAAGTATGTCCATTCTGAAAGAACTATAGGGTCAGTATTATTAACAAAAAGATAGCTGAATTAGTTAACCCATAAGGGAAATTTCAAATCTGATATACGATTTCTGCCACTCGCTACAAAAATGTACCAGATGTCAGAATCAAATAAGGACACGTTTGTGGAAGATAGAATGTGACGGGAGAAGAATGTTACCGGTAGTGGTGGAGACGTCAAACGTTGCGTCCAGTTCCGGGGACATCAAAGGCATGTTCTTCCTCTTGTGAACGCTTCCGGGGGTGGTTACCGTCTTTATTATGCTATATTCAGCAGCACTGTTAGACATTTTGCTCTTGTGATGCTCGTCATCATTGGGAGATTTTTCGCGCTTGTGTTTTTTCACACTAGCTGAAAAGTGAAGACGAACTGATTAATCATATTCGAGAAGGAAACCAAGGGGACCGAGCATATTGAATTAACAATACTGTCGAATCCCGAGTGTTGTGTGGTCAAGTGCAGTTAGCAAGACCTAACCACGAGGATAGTATGCCAGAGGACGCTATCCGAGTCTAACTGCTATAGGAACATACTAAAATAGAATTCGCTATTTCAGATCCGAAGAAATCAGGGCTTAACTCAAAGATTCCCTTGATTTCCGACATTTCAGACTGGAACCAACAGGTAGCTAGGGACAAGAGCAAGTAATTGATCAATATGCATCGAAGTTGTCATGACATCAATCATGCACATGACCCTAAAAAGTGGAGGGTTTTTTGCATTCTTATTTTTCCGACAGATCTACCGATTGTTCCCAAACTTCTCCGAAAAGAAGATTGCAATGGTTTGAGGAATGTTCATGGTGGATAGAAACCAAGCGTGACAAATGTTACGAGCTCAAGTGAAAAAAGTATAGGTCAGGGTACTGTTGTCTGTGGTCTCTAGGTGTCCCTAAAAAGCTAGTATGACTCATAAGCCGTCCAGGCTCCACCTCTTGGTATTATTATCAGATGGAGCCTTCAGATTTGGAATACATTAATTTGTTTGTCCTCAGTCGAACTGTTTCACTCGGTGTTCCTTCAGTGTTTTCCCTTCCACCATCCCTGAACAAAGTGTAATTTAAATTTACGAGTCTGAGCGCTGATACTATTGACGCTCCATGTGCATTATGTGAAGTCATGATCAAACGAAGTATTGTTATCGAAAATACTTGAGACCGTTTTTAGGGACTAGGAAGATCCCACTGAGAGACCTCAGTAACAATGATTCGCACGCTTCTGAATAAACAGTATCACATTACAGCTAAGCCCACAAAACTGCACTAAAACTGCGTACGCACTTAGGAGTAATAAATATATGGAGGTTCATGCCCCAACTACCATTGAAGATTGTTCACTTCCTAATGTCAGATGTACGGAATATGTTGCAGGGACATCCTTTAAAGCCGAAATCCCAACTCCAATAAATGCATCTTTTGTTCCTTGTGCGACTGCTTGAACCATTAAACCTGTTTCATCCGGATTTATTTCTTCAGTTTCCTTTGTGTGTATTGTCCAGATTAGCGTACGCTGCAATAACCCCAATGATGAGTAAAGAAAACCTCCGGTCTTGATGTATCGGGCCTTACCCCATAAAATCTCGGTACTTAGTGTGAGGACTTAAAGTGAACAAGACGGCTACGGTAGGAGGCTCTAAGCCCAAAGTTTTGCCTATTCTAGTCAAGGATTTCCACAAGCAAATTAATAAGCGCAAGAAACAAAGTTCAGTCATTGTGTCATGATAAATCTATAGGTTGTTTGCGTGGTACCGCTCGGCCATAAAACAGTTGATCACGGCCGGCGAAACCTTCGGACTATAACACCGAATCCCGAAACGCTACCTTGATGTATAAACTTTATAAATACATTCCACACGGCGTTCAAACTTCTCCATGAAATCCGGATCAAGTTCTATCAAATGTTAGCCGAACAATCACCCGTGGAAGCCGTTACGTGCTGGCATGTGTATTGTGAAAACAACCATTTCGTGCTGACTCGACCGTGAGCATGGACACCACAGTGCTTGTTTTATTCATCACCATTCGCCTCTCGAGTTGATGCACCATATCAAAATATTTACCAAGTGCAAACACAGTACTTTGTTTAGAAAGGGACGAATGTGTGCATAGTGTCATTATTTTAAAGCAGAGAAAAATAGGCTCATTATCGACTAATCGTGTATGCTCTCTTGCTATAAACTCACTAGTAGCAGGTGATGTGTTGGATGCTACGGATCCAGTAGTGGCCAAATTAGTTCGAATCATTTAATGCACTCAAACGAATTCACTTCCTGTTAAACTGGAGAAATTCGTATTTGGAGACACGAAGGATGGGGGTAGTGGGCATAGACCAAGCATCGATGGGCACTGGATGAACTTCACGGCACCTTCACGGCTGACATGCTCACGAATATGCCCAAATCAGTCTGCAAACACAGTTACACCTCAAGGGTGTGAACCAAAAAAACAACCGGATATTCTTCGTCCTCATCATTGATAGAAATATCATTGTTCCCTGTTATTCAGAAATGTGAATTTATCTGGAGAAAGGTCTGAACATAATTTAATGATCTTGGGAAATCGATAACGAAATGCACACAAAAAGGAAACATTTCTAGAGTTTCGGTGCAACGTGGCTGTCGGTTCAAATACCTAGTGTAGCCCTGAAATGGGTCGAAACCCGACTTTGACTATTAAACGAGCGGATGCCACTCCGAAGAAAACGGAAGCAGGCAAGTACCCGAGGATCTATGTAAAGCTATGGCTCTTTCGAACCGAACATTTCCCTCTGGTACCGTTCGACGGTGATACAAGGGCTAACAAAGTCCAGTTATCTCGGGAGAATTCCTGACTGAAAATAAGTCAGGTGAACCCTTACGAAGAAAAGCACAGATCCGGTGTAATATGCGAATGACGTCTACATACATTCAACTAACCCTGTAGATTTGGGTGGTCGGGAACAGGTGAACTACGTTGCATGGAAGACAAATAGAAAATAAAGGCAGCTAAATTACTCTTGGAAGGGATCTACGGCGGACCCAACGGGCTACTTCATGTTCAGAAAAATTTATGATATCGTTGTTTCAGTCGCCGGTCAAACAATTAACGAGTATCACCGTACAAGCCTTGTCTATCCGCACACGTCTGAGCTGAAGACCAAGGCAGAATTAGGGGAGAATAGAATGTTCAAGAAGGTAGTAAAGATATTATTACTTTCAGGGGCGCCTAAAACCGCTCGCAAATAGTGGAGAAATTTAAATCAATATATATAGAACCATGCCTCATTGGGAAGGTGACAATAGGGTGAAGGTTGCAGTTTGCTAAAACCGCTGACGAACATGCCAGGGAGTGTTTTGGATAGTGTACAAGGGAAAAACCAATTTAAATCGTCAAAATAGAGTTAGATGATACCACAACACAATGACAAAATGAATTTCGTCCGCCGTAATAACCCAAACCACATTTCTCACGATCGTTGGACCGAAATGAACTGACAATGCACATACCTTTAAGAGGCTTCTGATCCCCATCAGCTTCGGTTTTCATTTTTTTGGCTGTCGCAAAATGTTCGGTTGCGGTATTTGAACCATCCGTTATTGTGGGCTCTACGAAATTTAAAAAAAGTGGCAAGGGTTTTCAGTGCCTGTCTAAGAAGTGATAGCCGACTGACACCAGTAACATTTACACAAAACCTGTTACGCTAACAAACTAAGCAAACTTTCAGAAAGCTTGGAAAATGAAAGTGATGACCAGTCTGAGGAACAAACAGACACAAAATTGGAAGGGGAGCTGCAGGGCCGAGAGATACGGAACTTAAACTTTCAGAATAGATTGGTGGATTGTGATGAACAAGGACAGTAGGGCTGGCTTCCGTCGAGGAAAAGTCCCGTCGAACACTGGGCAGCAATCAAATGGTTGGATTGCAAAACCACTTCACTTTTACTCTCACATCGAAACTTGTGTGTGTTAGGTAGGGATGTCTGTCGCCTCATGGATGCCATTTATGAAACATTATGTGAAATCAACTACAGATAGCAATTTTGGCCGTTTTTTGCCAGATTTATGACCAATCTGACCATGTAAAATTAGGAGTCATCGACAAGGACTCTCAAACGCTTCGTGCCCAACCTTGATCCCACATCTCCTGCGGGGATGGTGTCCTGTCTTGTAAGAAGACCAAAATGTCAGGCCTCGAACGATGACTCTGGGATGGGGCACAACAGTAGTACGTAATATTTAAAGACACGCGTGACAGTCGTGGTCAATTTACTTTTGAAATCGTTCGCCTAACCGGTCATCCTTAACAACGTAAATAGATGGATACCCTTCTTTTTTGGCTTCCTACACTGATGTAGGCACTGCAGTGTCTTAATTGGCCAAGTGAGGTTTTTTTTTTAGAAACGACTCTTCTGACTTAACAGGCCCTGGTTGAAAACATGTCTTTCTCTGTAGGACTTTTTGGCTAGCTCACAGTTGTCGGCCACTAGTACGAAGCTAGAACAATTTAGACAGTGACCGCTCCATATGAACTCTCGCGCACTCTGAAAATCCGCCTTCTCGCGTACTCACAAGTCTGTTCAAAAAAGATAAAGTATTTTGTGATTCGTATTTATAGGATACATGTGGGTTCACGTAAACGGAGTTCAGGGCATTAAAAAAGCTACCGCACCGTCCAATATTAGCAGCAGAGAAAATATTTTCGAAATAACGTTTGCACAACAGACAATGAAGAATGTAATCCGAAAATTGTCAAGAACCAATGAATAAGTACGTATCCTAACTTCTACTTTATCGGAAAACGGTCAATTTGCTTAGGTATCTCCTCTTCAGATGCGTGACTACATCTTTCTTATCTCCCCACTGTGGAAGAACTAATGTGAATCAAACGGAGGTAACATATTATTGGTACGGAGTCCATAGCTGAAGAAATAAAATAAACTTGACAGCCTAAATGGATTACTTAGTGCTCGGCTGGTATTCAATCAGTTGACGTGATTTGGCATGTGGGTGTGACCATCACAACGTTACCTAGAAATAGAACCACGGATTCAGCAACTAGCCCGAAAGAAACCCCACTACACAACGTTCATGCATGTCGCCCGGAAAAGAGTGCATACAGCAATTTCGCAGTAACTCGTTGCTAGAAGAGAAATGCAAGCACTTACCAGATATGGGGACTGGCTGTGGAATCAGCTTTCGTTTGTGGCGACTTACAACAGGTGCTGTCAAGGAGGGAAAAAATGCAGAAGCTAGATCGCCTTCATCCTGGCCCAGAAGGATGAATATGGACTCTAACAATGGGCTTCGAAAACGTAAAAAAAATTGTGACCATACAACCCCTACATAATACAGTGACATTTGGTGGAGCAGTAATCGAGATTTTATTTACTTGCAGTAGATCACGTACGACTGGGCGCTGCAACGAATGTTCGGTAAGTGCATGAACCGAAAATATTAACTCAAGTTCCTGATCGACGGCTTGATATCAACATACTGCGCTTCTTGCCATTTACAGGTATAATGGTAATAAACCAGCTTTGAACATAGTAACAGTTTTCACTGTTTGATTAACAGATGGGATTTTCACTTCTCCGTCTGCCAGCTGATCTGGCACGGGCAAATTATTCGTCCAGAACACCGAACAAGTGATATAGCTGATTAAATGCAGTGTATTAAGCACTGTGTGATTTTCCAAAAATCTCTCCGTGAATTTCTTAATGGTCACTGATAGTAGTGGGGCGACTGAGTTGAAAACTGCAGCAACACTAAGTGGAGTTATCGGCAAAACTTGACGTCTCTTAGGAGGATTTTCGGTACATGAGCTGAGCTCGATATTGTTGAGGGCAGATTCAATTAATTCTAATTAATATTGGCTGATGATCCACCGAGGATTTCGGCAAAAAGTTCGTGCAGGTGGTTTGTCGGGCATACGTACAAAAACCAAAGATTTTTGTGCTACTGTTGATCATTCATGAAAACAAGTCAACCGGCTCCTGGTCATTTTATTCTTTGCCTGAACACTTCTCGTACAGCAATATCAAACTCATTGCAAAAGGAAAATCTGAAAGTAACAGCATCAAATCACTACCTTCGGGTATCCGGTGATCCTGACGCAATAGTTCGTGGTATCTAAGGTGTGGGAGTTGCACTCAGCCCCAAGGCTGAAAGCGCCTTACTGGACTGGATCCCAGTAAACAGTCTTTGCGCCGTGTGGTTGCCTGACTCAATTAAGATCAATGCAGCTCAACGCGATAAACGGTGTTCACTTGTCGAATTGGTGTTTGCGCCGGCAGACAGCAGTTCTGATACTGAGGACGAGTTTTATCGCGATCTGTCACGACCGCTTCGGTCAGCAAGAAAGACAAATATCGTAACCCAGGACGAATAAGTTCTGAAGAATCGCATCTGGGTGGTAGATTTGGAGTCGATGCCCAACGTACGGATAATGGGAAGCGACTGTTTCAGTTGTGTGCAAATCATCGTCTGTTCATGGCTAGTACAAACTTCCAACACAAAAGCTCATCGGGTTATTTGGAGGACACCAATCGGAAGACAGTCATGGACCCAATTAGACCATGTGGATATCATTTACCGATGGGGAGCGTCAAGTAAAGATTGTCATACACAGCTTGGCTGTGATAATGCTATTCTTCGGGCCTGGCTATCACCTCGCTTTCCCTCAGCAACAAGGCAAAAAAGACCAGCTCCGTTCACCAACTTCGACAAGTTCCAGTAACTGAAGAGTATCGAGCTGATCTGGCTAGAAAGTTAGTCATGCGAGTGACAGAAATCGCTCAGAACTATTTGTCCAGGCCATCTGACTGGACTCAATGAACACTGGATATCTTCGAGATCAACAGATCTTATTGCTGCCAAAAAGGTTATACCAACAACTAGCAACTGTGATGGCGCACGCAGATCCCTCAAACACCGGATAATCAGGAATTCGAAGGATGACGGAGAACGCCGTTGGATTTTGAAGGCTCAGGAGATGGAGAGGGCTTCCGCTGCAGGCAACAGCCGAGTCCTGCTTCAAACGAATCGATCAATCGGCCAAAAGAAGGCAGGTGTCGGTGAGACAATATGCGAAAAAGGCGGAACAGCAATTTACTCCCTCAATCGCCGTCTTGACTGGTGGGCTGAGCACTTCAATGAACGAGTCAGCTGTTCACATTCAACACAGCTGCTGGAAAAACCCAGTGGACTCGAATGGACAGTCGACCCACCATCAACAACAGAGGTCCTCAAGCATGACAGAGCGACTGGCGCGGAGGGCCGGCACCCCGCGCTCTTCAAAGGTGGTGAGGTCCTGGTGAACAGTCTAACATTCGTGCTGCAGAAGATTTAGAACGAAAACAGAATACCAGCCGAATGAAGCTGCTCGACTGTCATCCGGGTTTTCAAAAGGGCACAAGAACGTCATTCGATAACGATCGAGGCATTCGTCGTCCTCTGAAATATGCAAAAGACTGTTGACGTAGAGAAACTTTTATAGTGTCTGGGGATTGATGTGTCCCTTAGAAATTTATATTCCTGCTCTGTGAGTCACAAGCGTGGCCTCTACGGAGAGAAGAGAGATGTCAGTGTTCGACCATCGGTGTCTACGGAGCATTGGTCGGGTCTGTTGGGAACATCGGATAGGTAATGCTGAGGTACGCCTGATGGTCTTAGGAAGATGAAACTCTCCCAAAATAGATGAATTACTCACGCTTCGTAGATCACGCTTGTTGGGACATGTACTCCGAATGCCTGGCAGAGCTCTTTTCGTCTAGCCTTCTGTTGAGTGGAAGCAACCGAGAGGTGGACAGTGTATAACCTGACAACGAAGTGCGAAAACACTAACCGGTAAAATTAGTTGGGTCGGCAACACCCTCCCCTCTGGATGGGAACCCCAGTACCCAACTCACCAATGGTTAATGATATTGGCAGAAATGGCCCAATCGCGGAGCCGAGGGCACTCGTGCACCAAAGCTATTGCCTTGAGTGCGTAGCCACCTAGTTCCCGAACTAACCAAATATTTCATTGCCTCCAAGACTTGGTCTTCTCTCACTTTCCGGTGATCGAAACTGCAGCAGCTGGAACCATTGTGCCTATGACACACGACCATAGCTGACAGATTGATTGCCTTCAAGTAATCAATCATTTTCACGACATGCGAGTACTCCAGTAAGATAATATCAGATGGATACCATTCAAACAGGAGACGTGACAGCAGAGACCCCTAAACAAAAACAAGAGCTACCAAAAGGCTAAGACTGGATCTGAACAATGAACCTGTCAGCCGGTTATTTCTGCTCCGATTCTCGAGACTCAGTGATCTTGTCCACACGGGTACATTGGTGAACCGCATTTACACTAGGGGTTACACATTCTGGTATAAAGTACGATGGCGGCAACGAGACACTCGAATGCGCCTATTGTTTATGGAGAATAACATAAACGAGACATTCAGTTGAATTTAAGATTAACGCCATTCTAGTTGCAAATGGGTATAGAAATTCACTTACTTTAAAATGTATTCAGGTGGAAAACTTGGTGACTAAGCCTATCCGATAAGCTCCGAAAAGGTCAAAGTCGGCGGTGAACTATCGAAGGGTTTTCATCAACCTTATAAGTGTTATTTGTCAAGATATCTACACTTGATGCCATCATGCTTTCCGGTTTGTTAGAAACAAGTCAGGCAACCATGGGTCACATCTAACCACCCATTTAGTTATTAACATTAGCTATATCTTTCGAAAAAAGCACAGAGCAAGCCAATGGGAACAGCCAATCCGGTTCATTAAGGTTCAGTCTATCGAATGCACCAGAAGTAACATTCGTAATCAGGCAAATCGTGAAACAGTTGTGGTAGGCATTGACGACTAATCAAAAGCCACCAGAAAACCAACTCACCCCATGGCCTAGCTCTCAATCGCAAACCGAACAGCTTCTCAGTAGCGAACCGGTGCAGTGCAGCCTTCTGAGCAGCTCGATCAGTGAAAACCACAACGCCCGTCCTGGGAAAGAGGAAAAGACCAACCCAAATGAATGATAATAAGTAACGATTGACGTCATACTCTAGCAAAATTATTCCAACCGAACGAAGTAGTATAGTGAAGTAAAACTGGGTGACCAAAAGCAAACTCCATCACGGTACATCAATAATCTGCCCCAACATTGAGGCGCATTTTCAGAGTGAACAACTGATTAGATTCCATAATTATGACGCAACTAAAACTGCAATATCGATTCCGTGGGAAACAGCTCACATAATGATGACATTAATTTGTTAAGCCCGGTGTGCACAAGCGGCATACAACCTTCAGACTGTCAGAACAGTTGCATTCCGTTTCTTCCGGCAGGTTGAAAGGCTTGTCACGTTGTTTAACCTACGATGCAGGTCAGTAGACACAAATTTGACAACTATAACCTCAAGCTGGCAATTGAGCATGTAAACCAGAAGAGAAAAATGACTGAAGGTGTCGTAAATCCTCTCCGAAGAACCTCTCGCGGTGCGACCCGATAGCTACTGCTCCTCGGGAAGATTTCGATTAGATCCCCTAACTCTGTGAGGCAATCCCATCCACTTGGACAGCCTTATGTTGTCTGGTAATGGCAGAACTTACTCTCAGAAAGACCACGAACACGTCTATTGGAAAATACCGCCACGCTGAAATACTGAACCCCATAAGCTGTGGTATACCCAACATCGAACCTAACCACAATATTGACCAGTATCAATACTCGATAAGTACTCGATAATTTGAGACGGAAAATATCAAGCTATAGGTTTCCGTTTTCAAATCTAATTCAGTGACTCATCGGTACAAGTATTGGTCACAATCCCATAATTCCTCGCCTTAGAGTAGCTGCCGCCCATTGATTTTAATGAACGAGGTCTCGAATGTTAACGGAGTCGAAATAAAATTCGGTTATCTCATGATCCACCGTATAGCCAAAGTTTACTCAGGATGACATTCCTTCGGGGTGGTTGATTGTGCCAGTACCGTGGTCGGTAGAGTAAGTATCAATGAAACAACGTATTGGACAGAACCCCTTCCTCGCAGGACGCAAAGATCTGTGATTTTGTACTTTAGAAATAGAATCGCTTCTAACGGAATGAACCGTATCCGGAATTTCAACGCAAACACTCAAGATACCTGAAGCTTCACCAGCTAAGGCTTCTCCGATCAGTTCCATATCAGCGGGTATTTTGACATCAAGAACTGACAAGCTCGATAAATTATGATGGCAAGTGGCGACCAAAGAAGCATACGATCAAACAGATAAATTATGGTAAAGAACAATGGATGCTGAAGTAACCATGTGACGGATCACTGACTTACTGGGTTACTTTCGATGAATCCACGTTAACATGCGCTCTAGTCACTACGTCTTCGGGGAACAGAGCCTTTAGTTGTGATACATCTACTTCCGACGGTAAGCCGCGGATCTTAATACCACAAACCGGGCTATCTTTTGGGGCTCGAGCTTCGAAACGAACTCCGAGAGTGTATTTAACTGGTCTTCCTCCAATGACTCGGCCTTGGCAAGCACTCCGAGCAATTTTGCAGTCATCCACTGTGTCGAAAACGAGCAAACAAGAACTGAGGACGGACGAAGAAAAAGATTAATCAATGCGAATATCCGTATATTGAACTATGATGCAGACATAGGAGCATGATATGCGGTTGGTTGTTTCTGAGTTATCGGTGGCTCGCGGCGTTGAAGTCAACGGCGTCACCCAATAAATATGATCGTAACTAACTGAACAATATCAACCAAGCGAAGCGGATCACTGATTATACCCGTTGAACACTGAAGCCAGATAAATAAAGGATCACACAAACTAGTATCAATGTGGCGTTCACGCCCAAATTGAATCGCCTCGGAATCGTCTGACGTTTCGATGCCAGCAGTTGGTTGCTCACTGGATTCCTGGCCTCGTCTCAACCCAGTAAATCCCCGGTAAATAACACAGCATAACCTTCCCAAACCAATTTTATGAGAGTTCCAATCCCTAACCAAACAGCGGCTATGTTCTAAAGCAAAAATGTCACCAGAAGTATGCGGTTAAAGTATGCTGCCTTCGAATACAATCATACCGGTACGGTGGACAGGCTTGCAGTCTAAGGATTTATATGCTACCTAGAGAATCAATGGTTCAACACAAACCGTTTACTGAAGGTGATGATACCCGATCATAAAAAACATGCCTCAATACTCATCTATCAAAGTTTACTCGCAGACCTTAGATAAAGGCAACTGCACTTTCCACACTTTCGATTCTTTACTATGGGTGACAGTAGTGCTTACCGGTTGTCCACATCGTTGATATCGGACAATCGCTAAATTCAGGCCAGACCGAGTAGGTTTTGCGTGTGCTACTTTACTCTGGTTCACTCTACAGATGTAAGCATACTTGATACCACGAACAGAAAGATGCACGTTTATCTGTCTCGAAGATTATTCTCATTGCAATTCTGACACCGTCGTTGGGAAGTAAGGACACGACCGGAGAAAGTGCAACATGCATTGGACCCAGGTAAAAGACTAATACCAAGGACGAAGGATCACTTACCCACGAAAACGACCAAACTTGTTCATGTTCATTATCACATCACTTGCCGTCGGGAACTCCTCTTGTAAGTCTTCTTTGCACAGAGAAAAAGGCAAATTGGCCAGAGTGAGACACCGGGATACATCGCCACCGGCATCATCAAGTCCCTCTAAGTGAACTTTGGGAGTGACGAAAGTGATGCTGATCTGGAAATAGACAGATAGAAAATGTTTAGGGTTCACAAAGCTGGTCTGGTAATCCCCATATAATATGCGCCCTCATCAGCCTTGAAGGCGGCACGACGGACTATATACTCTCAGGTGTTACAAACAGTATGAACGGAATACCAACCCAGAGGAAGAGCAGATAAAATATAAGTGACTTTCCGATGTGAGGCTGAGCAATATCATGTTGAAGGAAACATGAAATACCATTGCAACTGAAAGATGAAACGACCCATTACAGCATATTTGACTGAATATCATGAACCAGAGACTCGGCTGTTATTATACGATTAATCAAAGTGGAGGTAGCAACAGCGAAACAGAATGTTGTGATATTCTTGCCCTCCCGGATAAGATCCGAGTGCCTCTCCTGCAACGTAGTTTGAAACCCCACAGGGCATGCCATGTAAATAAACACAGTAGGGAACACGCTTCTATTACTCAGTAAAACTCGCCTAGCCTAAGTTCGTATGCTGATAGTGTATTTTCCCGAAATGCTGCCCAGATGTGTTGACTTCATTGATGTCTGAAGGTGCAGCGACCTTACGCTTGATCGTATCCCTAAAGGTATAAGGCCTTCTTGCACTAGGTCCCCATCCACCTTTCTGGTCACTATCTCATGGTTGTGGATAAGAACCAGTACCGCCGCTGTATTACCGTAGATAATGGAGACAACGAACACAAAGGGAGCGTTTCTTGGAAGAAGGCTGTTGGTCTCAAATTTGGCAGCGGACGCTTAGCATATAACCCGGGTTTAGCGATAAGGGCACACGCATCGAACGTTCTATACATTCAAAAAAGCTAGGCCGGCGATTCAAATGTTTTGATAACGTGCACAGAACACTCCACAAACATCAAAATTAGTCAAGCGTACTTGGTATCCATCCAATGTCAGACCTTTGAGGTTTTTCGCTGCTTCTTCACACGCATCTTTCGACTTGAACTTTGCAAAGGCATGTCGTTTACTGCCTCTCTTGAACAACTGGAACCGGTGAGCAGTGGGGATAGTGTTTTGTAGCAATGAATAGTTCACTGACGGCGGCAAATTTCGCAGAAGCAAGGAGGAATGGGTTGAAGTGTCCTTAGCTTTGCTTTGCTTCAAGCCTATTAATTTGAAAACAGAGACATTAGAGTGATACTGGCTGGAAAGACTTGACCGCCAACCGTTTGTTAATGACGAAACATTAGAAATGAATTGAGCACTCCTTCACAAGGTTCTTTCAAAGACTCAAGAACATGAACAGAGGTAGCTGATACACGTCAACATTGTGTGCCTCAGCTGCCTACTAGGATTGTGTGAACTACGTCCATAAGGTGCAGTCGATTTCATGAACTGCGTTAGGTCGTTCCAGAGTTTAGTCGGTTTCGGACAAAATACGACAGCAGCACTACTTGAAGAATTTTGGGAGGGAAAACTACCCAGCAGAACCCCAAGAGTTCAGAGCTAACCAGAAGATACAAACAGTTTATCCAAATCGCACGTCCTTTGGTTGCAGACTAACGATTCAATATCCATCTCATCCGAATGCTCAACAGTTACTCCTCAGTAGATATGTCATATGCAGAAAATAAGATCATCGCCATTCGACCACACCGGAGAGGATGGGTTACCCACGGTTCCCTTTGAATCAGGGTACATCCAGCTTAATCGGACACCCAACAATAGCTGATCGGTGAACTACGGAGAATCAACCCTACACCGATCAAACAGATGGATAAGTTGAAACTCAATGCATTTAACCGTGTCACCCTTTTAGGACACAGCTGCCGTGAAAGCCGGGAGAGGGGTGAGGAAACATTACTTAGTTCAGCACGAGTAGGAAGGAACCAGTTGCTCAGGACGAGCCATTTCAGTTGTCATGGGCGATGCAAGTGCATTAGGGGCATACTTTCATCTGATGCTGCTTTTGGTAAGTTGGCCGAGTCTCCTACGAAATGACTGTTTGTGTCTGAAAACTGAAACCCACTGCGTCTCAAGATGTGCCAAACCTGTCCATCACCAGATTTTCTGACAACACAAACCAAAATGAATTCTTTCTAAAGTTGCTCCTTATATCGTAGGTTCGGGATTTTCCAGTCTTGTAGGCCATTCTCCAACGGTCCACATAGTGGCTGGTAAAAAAACGCGACTCGATGTCACGCGCTCCACATGTCCCGACTATCGCAGTTAGTCGCACAACCAGATACTCCCGATTCTTAATATATTTTTGTTTTATGAACCTGACTATACTGATAGCTATGTCATCGAAGGTGCTCTCTGATCTTACCCTTCGAAGATTGACTGGACACAGGGAGAGACATCCGTGAAAACCAAGCTGAGTTCCGTCCTGCAAGAGGATGCATCGATTACATTTTCACCCTCTGGAGAATTCCGGAACAGTAACACTGCTTCCAGCAACCAAAAATGGTTGTCTTCAATGACCTAAAGACTGCCTCCGAATCTGTGAACCGTCAAGCACTATGGCAGTGCCTGAAGAGCAAAGACATTCCCCATAAATTCTTGACCCCCCTTAAACCAGTGTGCGCCAACTCCCACGGAACTGTGAAGATCGACGGGAAGCTGGCACCTGAGTTCACCGCACCAAGTGGTGTCAGGCAAGGCTGTCCTCTTTCACCTTTCCTCTTCAAATTCGTCATTGATGATACCATTGAAAACTCAACACCAGCCTCTAAGGCCTGTGGGGGCGTTCGCTCACAGATATCGAGTAAGTCTTGGATCTGACGCCTTGGTAATGAAAATAATATTGAATAAATTAACCTAAATAACCTAATTCTGTCTCATGGTTTGGCATGTGCTTCACAACTACGAAGTATAAGATGCTGCTGCAACACTTGGTGGGCGCGAACCCTAACCTTCTACTTGCGGATGAGCCGACTGAGGTACCGCAGCTCTATCAGTCTCGGTAGTCTACAAAATTGAGAAAATCAGAGCAGTTTTCGTAAACCTGCATAACCTGTGGCGTACGCGTGACATAAGCTTATCCGTCAAGATTCCTGCTTATATTGCTGCGGTGCGCCCCATATTATTATACAGGTCAGAAACCTGTCCTCTGCGCGCTGAGGACGTCAAGGGACTTTCAGTGTTCGACTACCGATGTCTTTGAAGCATTGTCCAAGTTTGGTGGAAACACCAGACCAGTAATGCTGAAGTACGTAGAGTGGTTTTCAAAAGAGATAACCCACTCATGATAGATGAATCGATCACAACCCACGGATTGCACTGGCTTGGACACGTACTTTGAAAAGCTCGTTGCGCACAACCACGTGAATGGTGGAGACAAGCCAGGGGAGGTCAAACAATGACTTGGTGGTGAATTATGAAAGCTATTACCGGCAAATTCAGTTGCGCTATTCATTGCCGTCTCCCCGGATGGGGACCATCAACAGTTGGATACATTGTCAGACACGGCCCAGTCACGCCCTCAATGGCATCCAAGTTAGTCTTTAATGTATAACACTCCTTCCAATCTCCCCAGTTAAAAGTTCACTGATAACCCTGTGTTTACGCATCAATTATATCAGCTACCGCCGCCAATGCGCAGCTTTCTGTCCCACCTCCCTAAATCATTAGTGAACGAGACTGCGGCAGCTAGAACCACTGTACAGGAAGTACACGGCTGTTACAGCTGATTATAATTATTATTGATATCACTTTAATACAACAGTGGTAAATACTGGTAGGTAACTGCCGTATAAACGTGGGGAATGTCTTAGTAATGAGTACAGAAGGGGGTGGTCCAGGAAACCTTGCCCTTGTATAAAAACGACCGAAGCCCACAACTTTCAAAAGTAACCAAGCACAATACTGAAGTAGTGAACCATCAGTAGAACTGACTAAACGCTCTTTCTGAAACACACACGAACCCAGCAAAACATTAGTGATAAAACCTATGTGAGCATCCCGACTAGAAGTAGTGATATGCTCACCACTGGAACCGGTTACTTGCCATTTCCAGGGGGTTACGGACAACGCACGTAGAGATTGTGCTGAAGACAAGACTCAACGAAAAGAGTAAAGGGGAGCAAAACTGGTGGACCTCACCGGTTATGAAAAAAACACTTAGACGGTTCATCCTGACGGTAGGGAGAACTAGAGCAGGAAGACGCGCATAGAATTCTGCTTCTGGAAAGTAGCAGCTGGCCAATCAAACTCTGCTCGAAGCATTTAACCCGAGGTCCCGATCATTCGACTGAAGAAGAGGGAACCACTTTAGTCTGTAGTGATTATACGAATACGTTTTTAATAGCACCTGGAGGTCAAATCAGATATAGTAATTTGCGAGCCTTCCCACCATTTTTTGCAACCTCAATTTGTCTAAGCTTTCTGGTCTAAACATAAGCTAATCTACCAAACTTCTGTTGACGTACCGAGTTTTACTCCGTTTGCGACTGTATAGAACATCTGAGTTCCTCAAAGTGCGTCATACAAGAGATCCAATGCTTCTATAAAGCTGGCTGGATTGCCGTTGCCGAAAGCAAAATTCCAAGTGAACCGTGCCCTCTCTCATAAGGACGGGGAGACTTGAATGCCCTCCAACAACTTTGTAGAAAAAAGGCTCTGGCAGATAGGGTTCAGGAAGACGGCCCGGAATGGCAGTAGCCAGTGGCGCTGATCTGAGAACAAACCGTGTCCTACCGAAACAGCGGGCAAGCAGGACGAAACAACCGTGCTTGCAGCTACCGGAACTCGGCTACGTCAGAGGGCAGGGATCAAAGGTCATGACTTCAGGATGACGCATTTTGTTGCGATTGAGTCAAAAGCCATTATGGTGGGATAGTTTGCCTACTGACCGAATATACGTTTGCGCGATGACCAATAAAAGCGATCCTCGTTTGAACTAATGGGGATGTGTCCAACTGAACAGTATCGCAGGGACCCACCCAGAACATCTTCGCGAAGAGCTACAGTTTTCCAGGAATGATCAGTTTCGTGCTGTGGAACTTCAACACACCACTAACAGACCAGATCAGGCATTCCTATGAGAAGCGGATAGTATAGCATAGAGTGCTGCACAAGACAAGCTTCGATTTGTCCTTATCATCATCATAAACAGAAACACACCAGTATTATTTACCATCATCGACAGCATGACATCAATGTTCAACACTGATGACTAGCTGGTGTATTATCCACTAGCGGTCAAGTATCGGACGCTACAAGCGTTCTATCACAAATCGAGGCAAAATTATCATCGCCAGAATTCTTCCGCGGGAAGATTCCACTTATAGGCGAAGTCAACCTAAGCAAGAACAATTCACAAGTTAATTGAATCCTCTGCCTGAGGAGCTTTCATACGAGCCATTCATTACGTGGCCATATTATGTGCAGTGGCGATATACCCTGTCTGAATGTGAACTAATTACGCTGCTGATTAGCTGCTCGGAGCCGGACAGGGGAACCAATAGAAGAACAAACGACGGGTTACAAAACGGGCGAGCAACAGGATCTGGCAACCAACATTAAACACGTCAGTGTTCATCTACAAGCTACCTACAACAGACTTTTCCACGCTCATTTCATTAAGAGTACAGTGACTCAAACATATCATACCACCAGGGTTGTAATAGCTCAGCTGTGACACCATTCCGTTGCCTAGCTGATATGCCACCCGAAGTAAGCACGACGGCCTAGACATTGCCAGGTTGCCGAAGTTTAGACAGGAGCAGTCGAGATGCGGGAGTTGGGTTCGAAATAGACGCTCTAGCCACTGAGTCATCCTGAGCTCAGATCTATGATTGAACCTACCTTGTTCAGGACGCGACACCGCAAGTCGCCCATAACCCTGCAAGAACTCCAACAATCACTGGATCGCTCTACAAACATCTACCGACGGTGTTTGAATGTTAATACGTTACGTATTCGATCTTATCCGTGGCGTGGAGATGCGAGTATGAAGTACAGGAGAAACGGACATGACAAAAAATGCACGGACCACAGCCAAATGGTCTGAGGCGACGAAAGCAACACCCTATAAGAAACAAATGAAGTCCTTGTGCTCTGAAGTCCTTTTGTCAGGAGATTCTCTCTGGCGACATGGGTGGGTCATCGTCTTATTACACAGCCGCGAGTAATATCCAATCACAAAACTATGGGCACTCCTAGCTCTCGGAAAAATGTCACAACATCGTCGAAATACACAGTGATAAGTGGACATCAGTCTGCTACTAATAATTCAGTAGTAACCATGGCGAAAGGGAAGGAAACGAACCTTTGAGGATAGCGCGTTTAGTGCGTCTGTGGTGCAGTGAGGCAGGTAGTTTACCGCGATTCTTCGGGTTCGCGATTTTTCCCGATTTCAAATCCTCTGATGGGTGCTTTGGTTTCCAACCCTCTTGCTCAGTTGGCACACAAGGTGATACACATTTTTCACGGCCGACCGACAACCCCGTCAGAATTTTTTTCGATTTCTGTTTTCTCGGATCGTTAAAGAGCTTCGTTTCGCTTGTGTTCGATCTTTGATGTTTGATTTCCTTTTTGTTTCCTTTAATCTTTGGGGAAACTGAGGTAGAAAAACCGCCCTTCGATCCCATGCGCGCAGATCGTATCCCCCGGGGGTGAAAGAAACCGCACCGTTTTACACAGTAAAATAATTGGGTCGTGTTCAGTTCAGAACTCAGAGTTCAGGATATTCGCGATATTTTTGCGTCATTGACAAGAATTTGGCATTTATATAACCGAAGCTGAGTGACCGTGAAGTCATACCAAATGTTAAATCAACGGCAAGTGTTTGGTTTCGGTGCATCCTTTGGCAGTTGCATTGTGTCTCAATATTCGCACAATGATATTGAAATTTCAACAGCTACGACGTGCGCCTGCTGGATAAAAGGGATCAGAAGACTGGAAAAGACGTACCTGTTCAAACTTGTGAGCCTCATTTAGGCATCTTGGGTGTTCATAGGCGCTGAGAAATTCTTCCGCCAGACTTTTCCTCCATGGGTATGGTATCACGGATCGAGGCTTTTGCCCAAGATTCTCGGGTCGGTTGCGTTTTTGTCGTTCAGCGGATGTCGTTCCCCTAAAAAACGAGAACATTCGGGATTGGCAGGGTTGCATGCAAGTACACAGCAACCCCACCAGCCCTCTCTCGCCTTGGGTCAGCCCGAAAAATACAGTAACCCTCAATCGAGATCTCCTTGTCAGAGACATCTGGTGTGAGCCAGGTTTCTGCAGGTGCTATTATAGACGGCTTTCAAGGCAAGCTGACTGTTTAATATCGCCAAGTTTGTTGAAGAGGCTGAGGCAGTTTGTGGACAAGCATTTCAACACTGTCTCTTTTGCCCCCGAGGGTGAGGAGCCGAATGTTAAATGACCACGGAGGTTAGCAATCTTAATAGTTGTGTGCCGGGTTTGAGTCCGATGCTCCAAAGGGTTGCGCCAGTGGACAATGCAAGTTGGTTAGGCAAAAAAATATCCGCACACAATTAAGTGATTTTTAGTTTGAGCACATGCAACATAATGTAACCTTTTGACCAAAGAAAAGTGCTGCTCTACATGTAGATGTTTTGCAGCTGAGAGCAGTGTGCGGCTAATGGAAGCCCGGTAGCGCTGGACCAATGGGATTCGAAGTAGAGCTGAGTCTTGTCCACATTGAACGAGAGCAGGTAAGGGTAAAATGATATAACACATGAACAAATGAAAGAAGTTGTTGTACCTTCTTTGCCTTTCCTGTTATTTTCACTTTTCTCAGGTTCTTTCCTCAAATGGGTTAATTTGGTTTGATAGGAAGCAGAGGAAACCCACGCTCTGGGCCCAAGATCGTTCGATAATGCTTCAGGTTCTGGGATGATTGACTTGGTCTAGAAAGCAAGGCTCTCCATCACCAAAAGTGACAGTGATTGGTAGGGGATCATTGGCGCCTTACTGGGCTTTAGTCAAGAGAAATACACTTCGACGTGCTGGATGTCAATGTATCTGGACACAGGCAGGTATTGGTAAGTTAGGGTGTTGCAAATAAACCCCTGATGAATCTAGGTGTTTGGCATTAATATAAGTAATTAAGTAGTAAACCGGAAATCGGTGAATGACCACTGAAACAACGGCGAGCAAGCAAGATTTGTCGAGGTTGTTTCGGTGAAAGTGAACTATTCATAAAAAGAACTAAGAATAGCTGAGGAATAAGTCGGATCCAGAGTAGTCATCTTCGGTTAGGAGAGCCACAAATGAGCACGAATACGATATGATGAATTCGGCTGTGTGAATGAGATAGCAGGCCCCCGTGACTGCGGTATTGTCTATCTTGCTGTCTATGAACTTAATCTCCTTCAAACTTGTCGATCGACAAATTATGCACAGCTAAACGTGCCCGAATTTTGAGAATGTATGACGCGAGTAACCCAGTCGATGCCCCGATCCTACGACCGCAACAGAAATATGAGGACGTTTTCAGCATAGGTCATGGATGTTGCTCCAGAGCAGAAGCGGTGCTTCATCCGCGCCAGGAAGTCCAGCCAGCATTCAGACCCAAAAGCTCATTGCAACACGCAGTTTTACAAGACCTCGATGCTTTGAAGCTGCTGGATTCATGAAACCGGTGAGTTATTCCTCATGGGCCGCATCAATCGTGGTTGTCGAAATACCAAAGGCTGCCGTACGTATCTGTGCCGATTACTCATCAGATTTGAATGATGACTTGAACACTATCCATTGCCCTAAACAGACGATATTTTTGCCAAGATGAACGGTGCGTACTTCGCAAAGATGGATCTTTCAGAAGCCCACCTACAAGCTGAAGTCGCAGATGAATGCGGACACCTTTTGACGACCAATGCGCACCATGGCCTATTCTAGTACATTCGATTGCCATTCGGAGTAAAAAGCTGCACCAGCAATCTTTCAGCAGATTGAGGACACGATGCTGTGTGATCTGACCAGAGTTGCTGCATATTTTGATGACATGTTTGTCGTGGGGGCCGCGAAATATGACGTCTCCCGATTGCACGCTGTCCCTCGGTGGGCAAATGGTTACGGGTTCTGGCTGAAGAAAAAACGTGAGTTCCGTTTGAGTTCTGTGGAATACATTGGATTAAATATCGACAAAAGTGGCCATCTACCTGACCCATCGAAGTTCGGACTAATTTTGAGAATGTCTCCACCATCGAATGCTGCTTAACTCAAGTTTCCTTCGGGTTGATAAGCTTCTACAACGTCTTCCTGTCAAGGATGCTCGATCTTTTCAACCAGCTTTTGACCAAAGGATGTCGGTGAGATTAGTCAAGCACTATCAGCTTGCATTCGAAGAAATGAAGAGGCTGTTGTATTCAAAACTTCTGTGCACGCACTCAAACTCCCAACTGGCCGTCGTTCTCCCAGCTGACTCGTCGAACCGCGGAGTTAGTGCAGTCATTGCTCACATTCCCTGATAGTACGCAAAAGGCGATCGCCCATGCCACAAGATCGCTGGCTCTAGCTGAACGGAATTACCGTCAGACTGGGAAGCGTCACTATTTATTTTTGTGGTGGAAAAGTCCCACAACACGCTTTGCAGCCGACACTTCACATTGTGAAGGATCCAAAAAAGGTATCCTTCTCTATACAACCAACCGTCTACAACGATGGGGCACGGATTTTTCTCGGCTACGACTTTACTATAAAGTGTGTCTAGATCAAGAATAGTAAGCGGGTTGATGCGCTAACGCGCTTAACTGCTTCCTAAAACCGGAACCAGAAGACACTGTCATAGCAACCACTGTCGTCGGACCGGAAGTCGGTGCTGTGGTGTTGACATCATGAACAAATTACCCGTGAATTTCGACGAGGTCCGAGGTGTCGCCAAAAATGACAGCATATTACAAAAGGCAATGGAGCACCACCAATCCAACTGGCCAACAACCCGTCTATCAGGGGAACCCCGAAAATTTTCAGCGACGGAGTTCAGTACCTGTGGTCAGTGGCTGTCTTCTCTTTGGTCTTCTTTGTCACTTGTATTTCTCCTTATCATTTTCATCAAACTTCGTTAGTGCGTCCCAGCACAGTGCTAGTCCTACCTAGCAAACCGTTGTTGGGAAGTTACTTTTAACAAAATGGTGGTTGTATTTCCACAGTAGAAGCGTCAAACGATGTTGCATGAAAATAAATGTGTGGGGCACAGCAAACTTTTACATTTTTTGCACACAAGCACTGTCACGACCGCCCAAAATAGTTTCCCAAAACTATCTAGGGGAGACGCTCACAATTAACATTTGGTTCGGGAGGGCAGTCGTAGGGTGATAAAACACCTATTCAGTGAAAATGACACAACAAAGCGGCGTTAGATACACCGAAGAAGCGGTCTTGATCCTAACTAAATATTTTCGTAGCCATATTCAAGCCGAAACCTGTTAGCTAAACACGCAAACACAGAATGGTGGGAAAATCTCATTATGGTGAGTTACTTCTGAGCATTGGCTCTTCAATCTCCCAACAACGCTTTAAACAAAATCAAATGAATAGTCCAACAAATATGTGCCGCTGCATTGTTGCTCCTCCTTAAGATTGGAGCTTGATTAGAATCTTGACAATCTGGGAGCTTCTTAGCGGCACAATGCTCCTAGGTGCAAAGCCTTTGCAAATGGACTGAAACGTTTTTGTGCCCAAATGTTGCATTTTGTTTCGCATGTGCTGAAACGGAAAATCATCATAATATTTTGCCATATTTTTGCGGCATGGCAAATTTCCTTGTCCTCTGAGGCAATTATCCCTCTGGTGGAAAAAATCCTTTGGAACGCTGCCCTAGCAACACTGGAATCCCGGAGTGCCTATAAAGGGATCAAAAGACTGCACTGGTATTCTGAAATCATTTCCTGTCTCTTTTAGTACATCAGGAACACGTCGTACCTTCCGAAGATTCCATTTCATTGTGCAAATACTGAGCGCTAAGCTGGGGAGCTGACCCTTAGACGCACACCCAAAATTTCTCTGAAACTATAGTCCAAAGGATGGATGCTGTAATAACGTTTTAGCATTTTATGGTAATTATTCGAGTCCTTAAGATCTCTCCGCGTAGCTTCGATTTCGTTGAAAGTTGTTTAAACGTGCTCAGGGCCCATCGTAGATGCGGAATTAATGTTGATGGCTGCTAATGGATCCGCGTAATGTATCCATCATAATGGTGGGAAAATTTGTCCACAAGCTGGTTTCTTCACGTACTTTCTTCTATGTTGGATTTGAAAATAATTTAAAGACTACACAAACACTAATTGCGCCCTGTGTGTCCGCACAAACTCAAAATGAAGCAGCCGTTGGCGTCTTATTTAGGAATAAGTCGCTTGTCCAAACAAAGGGCGTACTGCCAAGCATAACCAAAGATTCCGTCACAGACTTTAGTTTTTTTTATGATGATCAGCACAGGCTACAAGGGAGGCACGGCAAGGTCTGAACGCGAGGGTATACCAAAGCCTTCATAAAGTTGTTTGATGAATTTGTGGGTTCATGGACAGAAGAAGTGGAAAACACCATTGGGATGCCCGGTGGCCCCATTCCATAAACAGATCGAACGAATAGGTGTGGTCTTGCGGGTGAGAAAAACGCGCTCGTGTGGAAAACATTGGATTTATTGAACTAAGTGCAAGCTACGAAATTAAGTG